AAATAATAAACCCGAATAAGCATGCAAAGGAAAACAAATTGTATATTTTAATACAAAACTTTACACAAATGAATAAATGAATGCTTATACGCACATAGTTGGTCAGCAATTTAAATAGCTTAACAAAAGTATACTTAGTTTTGCAATTATATACAAACATTAAGGTGTAGCAGTAATTTGTATGCGTGATTGGAGCAGTCCGTGCTGTAATTTGTTTGTCCTATTGATTTTGCGTTCTTTAAAGATTCTAAATTTCCTTCATGGTGTTTATTTAGTTAGTAATTCACTACTTAACGTGAATTGGTGACGTTGAAATCTTGAATTCATGAAGTTGTAACTTTATAAAACGAGAACTTGTGAAATTGAAATTGGGAATGTGTGAAATTTGAAGAGTTTATATTCACGTGATTTTTATTTCGCGGAAACCCATTCCCGAATTATTTCGCGGATTTATGAATTCGCGACGGCAGGGTAAGAAATTTAAATTCGCGATTTTTTTGTATCTTATTTCACGGTAGGATGTCTCAATTACATTAATTTCCATAATGTGTCGAACTTATTTACGGTATATCCAATTTAATGATGTTTCATTAAGTGACAGTTTTTAATTTCATGCACAAACATATTGATTTATTATGAAAGAGTTTTCTTAAATCCTTTCTCATATTTGATTATTGTTTGTTAATAGAGTATTTGATAAAAAGTTAAATGTTTGTAAAAAGGTGTTATATACTTGGTAATAATACTTGAACAACAGAGGGAAAATTGTATGTTGATCACTGTGTTACCGTAAATCTATTGTTCTCCAAACAATATATGCTCACATTTTTCTGCAAAGTTCATAAATTGTTGTCATTGTCAGAAAAAAATGTTGCTTGTTGCATATATTCAGAGAAGAAGAAAAAAGAATTAGAAAAATATGTTAGTAAACATAATGTATGTGTGTATAATCATGAGATATTTCAGTAAATTTAATAAATTAGCTCTTCCCGTCTTGTTCATGACTTTTGTAATTTATGGTTCATGTAATGTAGGTATATGGTAAGACAAAATGATTTATATCTATCATTTAACAAATGTGTACATCAGGAATTGATGCAAAATAATCAATCAGAATATTTTTACTTTTCCTTCACATTGTTTCGTTTTTCGACACTCCTTGATGTTTCAACACTTATTTTGGTAAAGTGTTACATATAAGTTTGTCTTATTTCATTTTGTTCTTTGCATATATTACTTCGCGATCGGCGGTGTTACGCAGTTGCCCCCTTGTGCCTGAATTAATGCAGAGACAGACCCATGAAGTCCCCCTATACCAATAATAAGTTACAGTACCGGTTTCAAGAATAATTCGCCGATCCTCTTACATATAAGACGTCCATTTTTTCTTGCAGCATTGCAGCAACACCAAAAGTAGAGTGTTTTTTATGAGTATATAATTATACACTATGTATTTCAGATTAAATAGTACTGTTTACCTTAAAACATGTAATATGTTTAGTCTGTACATAATTAAACCACTGCGTTATTTTAGTCCAGGAAACATAACAAGGAACCAAATCCGTGCGCGATTATACACTTCTCGATATTGTGTGACTTGTTTTTGAACATTGGTTATTTATCAACGAAAAACTGCATGTTAAAAATACCCTTTTCAGTAGACTTCGCAAAGAAAAAAACCGGTATGAAAGTGTACCGTATATAGCTTGATTTGTTTATTACAGATTACAGACAATCTACAAATGTATATATTTAAAACGATGTCTGAATTCTAAATTTAGTTTCATTTCACGCTTTACAGTAAGGATTCATAACACTGTTAGTTATTGTAACATAAATGTAGCTCCGTAATTACTATAATTTAATGTCGATTTCTTAGACACTTTGATAAAATAAGTGCTCGTTTTCTCTATCATCATGTATGGTTCAGTGAATAATTTAGAAACAATTCTATATGATTTATATGGAGATAATTGGATGAAAAACAGGAAGCTGCCAGCACTATCCCCGTGAAGCTTACATGGGCATTTTACGGCTTTTAAGAGAGAAATAAATCATTATTCCATAAATCATAATACAATATAGCACTGACAATTACTGATTTTTTTCTTGTGATTTGCAGCACACTAACACAGATATTCGCAAAAAACAAATGAATTGCGTATTAAATTTGAGAATGTGTTAGAAATTATTCTCAAAGTATGTTGAATTCAAGCCTTCAGTTATATTATGTCTTGACAGCAAAAAATAAGGTTGAGCAAATAAACCAATCCAAATAATGTGTTCTGTTTCACAAGTGCAACAGCCGCCAGCTTCATATCATTCACTTTTTTAATTATTCATCGTCTCAAGATGGTTCATTCTTTTAAGACCAATTAAGAATCAACTCATTCTTATTTTTCCTTTTGTTTATGCCCTTTTTAATTTGTGGCACTTAGAACTGTTAGAATGAATAATTATGGGAGAAAAAAAAATACCGCTTTGTTTACATTTACTACCATAATCATACATTGTGTCTCACTCAACGTTATTTGTTCAGAAGATAAGCCTCTTATAAAATGTTTGTTTTTCCTTTCTAGAGATAGAAAACAATTCATTTCTAAGATATATAATTTGCCTTTGAATGACCTTGTTTTAATTTATTTTACAACAGTTGCTATCATAGCTTGATTTGAGAAAAATGTAGCTTTTCAATTTAAACATGCATTGATATATGAGAAGAGCTGCAAAAAAATGGAATATTCTTGAAATGTTTTGGTTTAGAAAGAAAATAATTTAGTAAATTTTTGGTTAAAGATGTCCATTATCTTTCCAATATTAAGAGCGGGAAAGTATTAACTCTTATTACTATTAGTTTTGTTTTAGTCTTATTGTTAAGTTGACGCCTTATGTATTTTCAAATTGATATATTGAGAGATCTTATTTCATACCTTATTTCATTGTTTAAACTCGTCAACTATTATATGTTCCAACCGAGGATGTTATGGAGTTTCCAGGTTTCCATAGTTACATGTTTATTGTAACGACTTGAGTAACATTTTCCTCTAAAGCCCCAAGTGGTGGTTTTGTTTTTCCCAATTTTAAGGTTATCACATGCTTTTTCACGCTGAACCTGTTGATTACAGAGATATGTCACGTTCTTGACCTTTTACTCGTTATTTTTTTTTTACAAATACCAGAGCTTCTCTAAATTAGTGTTGACAGATTGAAAGACTAGGGATAGGTGTTCCGGTAGAGTCTGATTTTTTTATCAATATTTTTATACGTATATTGTATTATTTGGTTTTTTTCTGTCGCTTTTCTCTTAATATCACGCCGTCTTATTGTTTGTTTCTGGTTTTTGTGCCAATTTTGACACGTTTGTTTGTTTAAATATCGGCAGTCGATCCACTTAACTAGATAACTCACCAACAATAACCAAATATATATATTTTTATTATAAGTATATTTTCCGTCAGTGGGCAACTACTTATACAGCATGATTTCTTATTCAACGACCAGAGACAAATGACCATTAGATGTCAGAGATTAAATGTCACGGAGTAAAAACGCTCGTCAAAGAGGGATCATTTAGAAGAAACACGTTTGACATGCAACTAAGCAATGCTACTTATGGATTAAACATCACCTCTGCCAGTTCTTACAGTTCTTTCAATGATTAAAAATGGAATATTTTACACCTTTTATCTCTTTTAAAAAGAATTCATGCTATTTGACATCACAACTTACATTTGTAACAACATGTATAATTTTTTTTCAATGTTTAAAATAAAACGTTTGTAAAGACCTAGCTTTGCAAATGGCTGATGACGATAAAATAGCGAGAGTTTTATGTCAGATCCATGTGCCATTAATAGCGTTATTTATAAATTGATTTCACCTCTTATTGAACATTGTACATCACAGAATCATTGTTAGCTTATCAATAATTGTTATCTTGTTGTTATTTATGAACGTTTACTATTATTTAAAAATAAATTATTTATGAATGTTCACGGTCATTGATTCAAAACTAATTAATAAAACAAGAGCGATCAGTGATCACATGTGGTGCCTCATGATGGCCAATTTCATGTTTGGACAAATTTTGTGACAGACGGACAGACAGACGGACAGTGCACAACTAGACTTGGTACTGATCATTCTGATCATTCCTGTAAAGTTTGGATAAAATTGCACCAGTAGTTTATGAGGAGTAGTCCGGACAAGCTTTTGTGTATCTGGCAACACACAGAAAAAAAACACCTTTTATCAAAGGGCCATAACTCGGCCAAAAATCATTCAACCGGAAAACCCGTGCAATATGCGCAAGGACTTGAGCTACAGATCAATCCTGTAAAGTTTCATTGAAATTGCATTAGCGGACAAACTTTAAAAATAAAAATTATTAAAGGGCCATAACTCTTACAAAAATCATTAAACCGGAAAATGCTGACAATATGCACAACTATACTTGGTACTGACCATTCCTGTAAAGTTTGGATGAAATTGCACCATTAGTTTATGAGGAGTAGTCCGAACAAGTTTTGTGACGGACGGACAGACGGACAGACAGACGACGGAGAAGTGATCCCTATATGTCGCCACTACTCCGTAGAGGCGACACAACAATGTACACGAGAAAGGGAAAAATCACACATTCTTGTCTTTATGTTCATACAAGTGAGTCCTTAAGACGTTCTAACAATTAACCTCGATTCACAAATACTTTTTAGCATTACATGACGGAGTTGATTTGACAAATCTGAATTTGGTTGCAATTCATTCTAGTTTTTTTAAGCATAAGCATTATCATTTCGCATGTATTCTATTCTAGTTTTTAAATACTGTTTAATAATGACAAAAAATAAACATTAATATATCATAAAATATTTATTACGAATATTAATTTTGCTATAAAACTGATAAAAATTATTTGTGTTTTGTTTAAAAAGATAAAATAAAATAACTCAAAAGCATTTTTACTACTCTTTATTTTTCTTTCAGTTTTAGATTTAGGAGTTGAATAAAAAACCAAGGTTTCAAAATAGCGTTTCTATTTTGTTTTTTGGTGACTATTATAAGATCTTCTGTTACCATTTATATACAGTAGTATATATTATTAAATACAAGAGTATGTGATTTGTTGCCGCAAGCCCTGTTCTTTTTTTTTTGTTAGAAGAAAACAATTAGTTTGTTGGTTTGTCTGTGCCAAATTTGCGGACGTTCATATTAGCATTTACAATGACAGAATAACATTCATACAAAAAGTGTGTTAATCATAAAAATGGCAATATTACATTGTCCTTGGTAATCAAGCCATTCCTTCCAATCCAAACTTACGCATTTCTTGTTGTTGTTGTTTTTAAAAGCATTACAATGGATCATACAAATGATGCCTGTCGACTTGCAAGATTGTAAAGCGGGGCAGAAAGTATCTTTGTGTTCAATAAATTTGAGCTACTACAAGTCGATAAAGACTTCATTTCAACAATGGAATCTGATTCAAGTTCACAAAAACTAACAAGACTGCTGTTTGTGGAATTCTGGTATCTAAGTCCCGCCGCTCTAGGTCCGAACCCTTGACAATGGTCGACGTGAATACGATCTGTGTCACTGTAGAGCTCGTTCAATCGTCCAGAAGAATGGGACTGATAACAAGGACATGTGTGTGGTCGTCTCCCATTCTTGAAAGTGATATCACGTAATTTATCCGTATTTAGCAATCCATGGACGTTCTTGGTTCCGTTCAAATCCATAAACGACAACTTTGTAATGTTGTTCGCATTTTTTCTTATAGAATTGACAGCCGTTCTATCGGAACAGTAAATTGACTTTGACTTTCCATTAAGCTCCAGCAGTTCTTCTGAAGTATAACAACATCGACACAGTGTTCTTTTGAAAGCCAACCGGAATTTCTTTGACATTAAATTATACAATATCGGATTGATAGTTGAATTGCAGAAGTAAAGAACCCCTGAAAATAGAACGAGAATGACAGTATCCGTCTTAGGTTTTTAGGTAATTTGTACAACGTCACAGATCATTTTTGTTTGTCTTTAACAAAGTTTTATAAATTTTACTTTAATCATTGTGAGAAATACTTATAATTCATGTTAAATTACCATTAATGACAGTCTTAAAGTTAAATTTGCGTGAAAACTAAAAATATGTTTGATAACTTTGCTAGTGTAGTACAATCATCAAGTTTTTAAAGAATAAAACTTTCTCTTACTGAACGTATGAAAATAACTTTTTAAACTTAATTGATAGATGCCCTTTTAACTGTAAACATTAAAAACAAATACTATACCTGACACGTAAAACAAATCTGATTGGAATTTGATTAAAGTTGGGGTCCACATTTCAACCGGAACATATAAGGTGATGAGACGCTGTGCATGGAAAGGTGCCCACTGGACGAAAAAGGCAACGACCACGGCAACTGAAATGTAAGATTATGTAATCATTTGTCTAGCCAAGCTCTTTTTTAATTGTTTTTATTATAAGGTTAAATTGATGTTATTAAGGTTCAAGATGCTAGTCGTGGAAGAGAATATTTTAATAGAACAGACATATTTAAACATGATTACATATTTTATATTGTAAATAATCCTAACTGTCTGACTGATAAAATAAAATAAAACTGATAAAACTAAAATGTTAAATGTTTATAATTGTTTCTTCCCAAAGTGTTTATACAACTTTATAGGGAAAAAAGCTTTTATTTTTTTCACACTCCGTTTAGGGAAGTCCTGGTAGTTTTCATTATTAGTACAGGGACATATCTGATTCGTTCTTAATAACACACCTAAGCAATATTATTTAATAATCAAAGAATAATACATCAGTAAAACTTTCATTCCCCTGTATATTAACATGTAGAAGAATTAAATAAATATTTTCCGAACGTTGAATATTATCTCAAAACTCAAACGTTAAATGTCAAAACAAATATAACAAGAAACCAATCTTGACTTTAACTTAAAACGTTACCTCAACAAAAAGTGATAAAAACTTTAGATAATCTACGAACATATTGGTTGCTCATGGTTGATTATACTTAGAAATTATGAATACAAGTGCGTGCATATTAATCATTTGAAAATGATAACTGTCGCATAATACAATCCTGATGCTAACAATATCACATTTAATGTTAAATAGGATACTAATTACGTTTGATAATTGATCATTACAATAAAGTATAGGTAAAATAAAACCATAAAAAATACTGACAAGAACAGATCCTTCGACAAATAAGAAAACAAAAAAAGAAAACGAATTGTTGCATTTTATTTAGTCTATTCTTTGTACATATCTATGGTCCTGCACACATTCCTAGATTTATTCAATGATGTGAAATGATTCTAATAGTCTATTCGTGTGTTTTTTAAGGAAACACAGTTTGTAAAAGTAGTACTGTTTTTATAATGGATATAGAAAAGTAACATTCCTACTTATGGTGCATCATTTATACACTGTTTCAAAAATTGATTTGTTTTTAAATGTAACTGATCTTATTCCATAATGTTTTTTTATGTTAAATCTTCAACTTATTTATATATGTAAAACTCACAATTATCTTTGTAAAATAATTCAAATAATGTCCATTCCTGGTCTAATTGAATAATAATTGGATTTTATGAACTCAAAGATAGATGCCTAAATTTGCATATTTTAACTTCCATTGAATCCTAATAGTGCAATTCCTGTAGTAACATGTGTGTACTTGAAATGAATAACCAAAATTAATGCCATTACATAATGTAATAATAATAGTTCAATGTCAATATCTGAGGTACATAAAAATAAGAAGCTTTAAATTTTACGGCGGGAGATATAAAATAATGTTTGTTATTGCACTAATGAAATGAACGAATCTTATCAAATCGAACCTGCATTAAATTCATTTTCACTGCGTTGAACAACCTTGATGGGTTTCAAAATTTCTTTAAATAACGTACAGTAGTGTATAGCCTTATATCCTTCATAATAATTATATTATACCATTTTGTTTCCTTTTGAGGAGATATTAAGATACATAGTTTTATTATATAAACGTTTGCGTTATTTGAAAACATAACATAGTTTTCCTTACATAACATTCTAACTACTGCTTTCCTCGCCTTCGTCTTTGACTTGTGCTTTGTTTCCAGTTGCGGAGAGCGCAATTTATTACCAATCAAACCATACATTACAGTTATGAGCCCCATTGGAAAGACAAAGAAAACAAATGTAGATATCTGGAAAGCATACGTCATCCCTCTTTGCCATTTAAAGGGGATGTTACATTGTAAAGAGTCTTCTATACCAGTCCCATTGTATGACACATACGGGAAAACCCGCGTATGAATCGGATAAGGCAAAGCAAATAGGCACGATAAAATCCAAATTGAAATCACCATTTTCACAGCACGTGATAAGTTTGATAAGGTCTGCGCTTTTAATGGGTGACATATTGCCACATATCGTTCAACGGTGAAAGCTGTGATTGTGAGAATCGATGCGTATGATGTCATTTCCGCCAGGAATGATTTGAAAATACAAAGTGGTTCTCCGAATCGCCATGGATACGACTCCCATATTCCATAAAGTTCTGTTGGAAGACCTTGAAAAGAAACAAAAATAATGTGAATTAAAAGATATGTTTTAAGCTAAGTAGATTTTTGTCACACTTTAACATTATCCTAATAACAAAATGAATATGTGTTTTTGATTAGATAATTGTCGCACGCATTTTATCTTTCAGATTTGTTTTCCAATAAAATTACAGAGCTTTTCAGAACGCTTAACTACATTTACATAATATATAATGTCAGAATAAATAAAGACATTGAGGCATTTAAATAAAAAATAGAAATAATTACTAAAAAATTAGACATGAAATTAAATCGGTTAAGTCCTTGTTTAAAATGCAATGATCGTGTTATCAATTCTGCTGAGAATGTTAGCAATAATTCAAGGATATAACGACCCAACGTTTAGAATTGTAACGTATTCTAACTCGAACATTAGAAAAAATAGCTTTTTTGTGTTTGTTTGTCAATTTGTTCAGATATATTAGTACAAATGTTAATATGACATAATACGTGTAATTGATGTTACAAGGATGTAAATATTACATCGACCTAAATTCAATAACATGTGTCACACCCGCAAAATAAAATTTTAAGCTCTTACACAGATAAACTGGGGCACTTAAAAATAAAAATAAATTATATGCAAAAGACAATTAAGAAATATAATCAGAAATATATTGAACATTGTATTTTTGTTATTCTTAGATCAAATTGAGTGAAACCATTGCAACGGTTCTACATATTTTGTGATATTTCACAAGTGGAATAATTATCCTGAAAAAAAAACGGAGTGAGTGAATGACTTAAAATGTGCACACAAGTTGTAAGTCTAGACCTACATCAAATAGAGCACTAATCTCGAAAAAATATTTCCAATGCCGTCATGTCAGCGGAGTCCCTTTAAAAACGCGAGCCAAAGTTCGGGTCTAGATGTTTGATAGAATGATGTCAGACATAAAGCTTTATATTCATGATGCTTGTTTTCATTCTACGACTGGTGTTCTATATCGATACATTATATGAAACCGAAGACTGGACAAAATTCTATTTGTATAATTGGTATGGAATACAAAGCAACAAGATTGTCTGGTAACTTTAGCATGTTTCGAACAAGTTATTGAAGATATGTCAAGACGTCCATACTGATTTACTTCTTAAACCTCTACATCACATTTTCAGACATAAAAGTACTTAATCCTGCTATTATTTGGAATGCAAATGACGGACTGTATATTATGATAAAACAATGTCTGTTTGAATGACAATAGAGATAATGCATGTGTTGTTTAATGTTTTTATGGCATTTTGTTGTTTTCCAAAGCTTTTCAAATGAAGATACGTAGAAAGATGGTTACTAATGGTAAAAGTTGCATCACTAATTAAATAAACAGGAAACAAAAAATATATTTTTTCTTCTTGAAGATATGGTTTTATGAACACATTTTGTTTAAGCCGGTGCTAGGGGACGTGGAGGATAGTTTGCACTTGACAGTATCGTCCATGAACAGACTCAATCACATCGAGCCTGCCACATTTTCAATTTTGCCGTTTTGGGTTTTCTTTAGCAATTCAAATTTTCTCTATTTTATGATTTTTCTTTCTTATCTTAAGAATTACATTATTTGCATATTTGCAACATTTATACATTTTACAGCGTTTTGCTTAAGTGTTAAAGTATGTAGTCATCTATGTAATAAGAAAGAAAAGTCGTCTTGGCAACAACAGTAAAACATATGATCATCATATCAAACATTTTTTTTAATCTAGAATCTAAATGAATCTTTCAAAGTCAATTTCCCGTAGGAGTTAGGTATCCATATATATTATTAGGAAATGTTAAACGAATTAATCAAGATTATTACATTCATTTTCATCAGTGGTTCTCTAAAACATTTGTCAAGCATATTTGTCAAATTTTCAATGTGTTGATACAGCTAATAAAGTACAACATATGACACAATAATGATTGAAAAAAGTAAATAAATGTTCTTTATTTAAGTCATATAGGTATTTGCTGAGACCTATATTGTGACCAACATGTTATTTAGATATAAGAATATACGAAATTTAATTACATTCATTTTCGTAAGCAATGCGTATTTTTCTATAAATAAAGCTGTAATTTTTTCAACTCAGTTTACCGTTTTAAGATAACATTATTCAATTTTTGGTGTGACCAAGTCCATGTTTTATCACGTATTGCACGGATATTGTAAGGTATGACAGCCCGATCTATTATGAATATTCATTAAAGAATTGATATTTTTCGATATATATCTAGAATTATGCTTCCAATGTGAAATAGTCATTAATAACATACTACTACATTTTGATAATTGTTTGTATCTGTGTATCTGTTTAAATAGCAGAAGCGAAGGAAAGACAATTAATTCGTGTTTTCTTAACAATTGTGTGAAAATATCCATTTGTTTTAGCATACCGAGGTTTTTATAAGTTACAGGAGAATACAGAAAGAATAAATATCACATTCAATCACGACCGCATAATTGCATAGACTTCCTTTATCATGTCCGGAATGAAAACGTATCATAGGAATGGCGCAAAACTATACAATGAGAGTAGGGGAGGACTATCATAACATGACGTTTAAGACGACAATGTTTTGTATTTTAAATGAGTTGTGATAAATTACATTTTAATGTTGTTTGTCTGGTTATGGTGAATATGATCTTTCGTCAACAACATAAATTTTTTTCTTTGAAAAAAAAACAACAAAAAAACAAAAAACAAACCTCCCTCCACACAAACAACTCATTCTTAAAACATATAAAAGAAGCTGAACATTATTCATCTTTGATAATATGTCACAGAAAAATTTTGATTTATGATCTACTTTTGAATTATTAACGAAGTGATAAGGCAATTCCCCGTAAATCCTGATTAAATTATATGTTTTTTTCCTATCTTTTTACTTTCTACGTCATAACAGTACATTATTCAAGAACACCACTGAATAGTATTGAATTAAGTTATTTAATCTTTTAAGGACTACGTTCCAAAAACTCATCTTAAACTTTACATTATAACATTTTATATGTTATTGATATGAAAACAAATAGAAGCAAAAGTTTACTATCTTGTTTGAAAATATTGAAGATTTAAGTGAAAAGTTTGTGTCAGTTCTAAACAACAACAGCAGCAGCAACAACAACAACAACAATGACGACAACTACAAATATATTTTCATTACTTAAAGGATAGTCTTTATCCCAGTCAAGTTTGAAGTTACCCTATTTTTACTCATTTCCAATTAAAAAGTATAAATAAAATAAATAAAATTGAAAATATCATCTAATAAAAGATGTTTCTGAAAAAGATTTAAAAGGAAACCATAATATGAGCGGACAACATCAACAACAAAAAAGAAAGAAAGAGAACAAACAAAAAAGTAAAACATACGGAACAGAAATGTGTCCCCAGTAGAGTTAAAACACCCACCCAATGTAATTTTCATTTCCTCACTGTTTCAGAAAGGCATCTAAAACTTTTATTCGAACAAACTTTCTTTTAACATTATACAAATGTCTTCTTTTTTGTATACAAGTCAATAAATCTTGTTCCAAATTAACAAAACATATCTATAATGACAAATAGCATCTTAAATGTACCATGGTTATGCCACCCTAACAAACTGGCCCACGAACAAAGTAAAGACAATAAGTCATAAGTAGCTAAAGTCTTCAGAAATAAGACAGATCTGATATCTGATTAAAATTAGATATAATTTGTACATGAACATAAACTTTAAAACTGCATTCCATTAATTTTATAAAAACAAAAAAGCTACATTTTTTCTTAATAAAATAGATTTCATATCAACATGGTAATCTTAAAAATTCCGCATTTGCCGCGTTCCAGACAATAACAAATAGTTTTTTTTTATGAGTTTAACACTGTAACGTTTCGATTGCCAGTGTGTACATGGTGTAAACACCAGCTAATTATAATTTTCACTTGCATGTAAAAATTCAAAACTAAACGAACTTTGGTGTGTCCTTTCTAAACAATATTTAATTAGTTTTACAACAATACCGTTATAAAGGTTAAAGAAACTATAGAATGCTTGTTATAAAAGGCAGATCGCAAAATATGTTTAAATATTTATAAAATGCTACATTAAACGCCATCAAAATACATGTGTAAAGGCATATCGCAGTCGAGACATGATAGGCAACTCCTACTTATTCTGTATAAAATTCCAAATACTTCCCTTTGTTATTCGTTAAAAAAATTTGTCAAGAAAAATATGATTTTTTTGTATGCATATGATTCTTTACATTTGAAAAATGATTTTTGAAACCGAGAGATACGTATGTCGAAGCGGATGTCAAAACTCTGCCTACTACAGTGACGATACATGACATATCAATGTTGTTTATACGACCTCAATGACCCTTTCTCGGGATGAAAATCCCTTTCTGATCAATCAATTTCAAAATTTGTCATAAAATGCACATAAAATGGAGCACTGGTAAATTTACATGGCATTTTGTTTTGCTTTTACCAATACAATCGAAAGCATTAATCAAAGGGTTTTGCGAGGTCTCACGAGTAACAGGACAAAACAGCTTGCAGCAATGAAACCTTCACTTTCGACTCAACTTTGTTAGTATTTAAGTATAAAAATATCTCTTTCGACTCAACTTAGTTAATACTAAAGTAATTTCGTGAAATGGCCAAAAAAGTGAATAACCCAGCTGGACTTAATAATCTGAGTTATATGATCTATAATTCATTGTTAAAATGGTCTAAGCTTAAATCAGGGTCTTTCCATTTAAAAGGCCCTGCTTAAATCTACAAAAAAATTGAATACTACCAGTGGCGGAACATTTAGGTTTGCGTTTTATTTGTTACATGTCATGAAATAATGCAAACAGAATTTTGATAAATCATTTTGCTTAGATTAAACCTTTCCTCTCAAGAAAGGTGTCTATTCTCTTGCATTTTCCTTCCACTTAACAATTCATGTAAATAAATAATGTTTATATGCTGTTTTAGCACACAACGT